AAAAAAAAAAAAAAACGAAATTTTATTTGATCATACTATTTTTTTCATTATTTTTTTGTTTGTCTTATTCAGGAATATCATCTTCAAAATGCTCTCGATGCTCAACGACGACTTGGTTCGGCAAAAATTCGTGCTGTACCTATACCTGATTTATATGAAGATACAAATAGTCAATCAATATATCCAGCTATTAATCAATTACCTAAACAACTTATTCGTTTACAACGTATATATTAAAATTTTATATATTATTTTGTTAATCGATTTTCGCTTGTTTCTTGTTTTTCCAAAAAGAAAAAAAAAACCAAAACAAATAATAAATTTTTTTTCTAGCTTTACAACTTGAATCCGATGAACCTGAATATGATATGGATAGAATTGATCATGATTGGTTTAATGAATATGGTCGAATATCTTGTCCAAATCTTACATATCTTGAATATGAAATCATTATTGATAAACTTGAGAATGCAAGTACACGAACACTTATATCATTGGATGAAGCACGTACATTACTTTCAAATATTGATGAAACACATTTAAAAAATGTTTATGATTTTTGGTATAAACGACGAACAACACGGGTACATGTTTTAAAATTTAATTTCTCTCTTTGTTTTTAACAAAGAAAAAAAAAAACAAGAATAGATTTTAATATATTAGATTTTTCAAAATTTTTTTTTGTCGAGAATTCTAATATGTTAAATATTCTTGTTTTTTTTTTTTGAAATTAATTATCGATCAATAGTATTGAATGGCACTGTTTTGGTTTTTTTTCCTTTCTTTCTTTATCACAATTAATTAGGACAAACGATTGAAACCACGATTGCTGACAGAACGTGATATTAAAGAAGAAAAAGGCAAACATCATCCTTATGTGGCATTTAGACGACGAGTCGAAAAAATGACCACAAGAAAAGTATAAATATTTATATTTATATTATCATAATTTTAATCTGTTGCTTTTTTGTAAAAGAATCGAAAAAATGACGAGCAAGCATATTTGTCTATGCTCAAATTACGTTCAAATTTCGAAGCCGTCGTGTATGCTAATTATATATATATATAATTAATTTAGAAAAAAATTTTTCGTTGTTTATTAATTCTAAATAGAAAATTAACAAGTTTGATCAAAATTCGAGAAACAACCAAAGCATCATTGCTCGAATGTGCTCTATCCATATTTCAAGCACGGTACGCAGTATGTCCACCCCTCGGTGGCAACTGGAGAGTTTTATTTAGGGAGCTCTATGTGTTATCTGTCTTTTTATTCTATGGTCGTTCAGATGTGAATTGAAACCGGATGATGAAGCATCATCAACGACAACATCATCGACAAACACGTCTATCACATTACCGACAAACCATGATCGACATTCTCATCATCATCATCATCATCATGCCCGTTCTAATTTAAAAACATCTTCATTATTGAACAGTAATAGTAGTTTAACAACTGCACAACATCAACAATTGTTAACACAATTGATACGTATGGAAAATCATAAGAAAAATTCATTATCATCATCAACATTAGCTAGTCTTTTACAAACTCCTATACAATCACAACAAATACGAACATTATCAAATGATTCTAATGATATTTTACAACCGAAATTGAAACGTTTTAAAGCATCTGATTCTTCGATGAACAATAATAATATTTCATCATCGAAAAAACTCTTTCGAAAGTTAAATCATGTAAGTTATAAAAAAAAGAAAAAACTTAAAAATCTTCAAAAAAATAATTAACGTTTTTGTTTTTCTCTTATTTAGACTGACAAACTAACACAATTGTTGTCTTCACCGACTACACCATCATCTCCTATTGTACATAATTTGGCATTGCCACCATCCACATCCATACCACAATCTATACTTGAACGATTGTCACCAGGAAATATATTCTCATCTCAATTACAACAACAACAATCTGGTCGACGTCGTTCAAAAAATTCTCTATCAGGGACAATAAAACAAGGAAAAAGTCATCGAAATCTTCCACTTGCAGATTTATGGTCCCTTACAGAAAATTCATCAAGTGGTACAATCTTGCTTAAAGCTCAACTTCTCGAAGCAGCTAAAAAATTGCAACAAAAAGAAGTAAAATTAATTTAATATATAGACAAATAAAATATAAATAAATTTTTTTAGGAGCTTGAAAACAACACAAATCGTCGTGTTATTTTACAAGATGGTTCATCTATATTGTCTAATTCAAATGAGAATATAAATAATTCATTTGATGGAATAGGAACGAGTATTGATGATGAAGAATCTATGGATCCTTGGCAATTTCGGCCAAAAGCTGGATGTAGATATCTAAGGGTATGTTTTAAATTTTAATTAAAATCAAAATCTTTTTTTTGGTATTTTTGTCTTATAGCCGATTGATCAAGATCAACAACAGCATATGTTACCTCGACGTTCGACGTTTTCATCATATTATTATGTGGCTTGTTCTGAACGAGGCCATATTGGCAAACGACGTATGCGGTTAGGACGGGGCGGAAGGTATATATATATTGTTATAAAAAAGACTTTTATTTTTTAAATAAATAAAAAAAAAAACTGAATTGTTTTAGACTGCTCTATGATCGTCATATTGAACAGGAGAATAAAGATTTAACAGATGAAACATTTCTATCATCACATATCACAGACAAGTATGTATTCAATCAAAAGTAAGTATAAATTTTTTTTTTAAATTTAGAATTTGTTTTTTTTTTAAATAATTTTAGACCCGTGTTATGGCGTCTTTCATCTCGACCATTACTTAAAGAATCCTATCGTCTTCATTCATATTTAACCGTTAATGATCATACGATGTCATTAGCACATCATTATCAATCGAATTCATCGAAAAATTCGTCGATTTATTTAAATAATTCATATTCTGATATAAATAATACTTTATCGCTAAATACGACTGGTAAAGATGTACCATTATTATCATCATCTATTGAGCTTGATCATCCATATTCATGTTCATCACGTCGTATTCATCAAGCTTTATCGACATTAACTGAACCACAACCACCATCACCATCATCACCACCACCATTATCATCATCTAATTCAATATCTACATCACAACAAATGATGTTAATATCAACACCACCTACACCACCACCATCATCGACGATAAATAATCATGATATTGATATTTCACAACAAGAACAACCCGAACAACAACAACAACAACAATTCTATACGAAATCATCATCAACATATGTTCTTTCTCCAACAACACCCGTTTTTTCTTCACATCATCCGTCATATGTTATTCCATCAACACCACCGCCATCATCGTCATCATCATCATCATCAATACCAACAAAACAAACACCATCATCATGTGGTCTTGTACAATTAGTTCAACTTCATCGTATACATCCTCCAACGAAGACGCATAAATTTGCATCATCAACACCGGTGACTACATTCGATTCTTGATATATATTTATATATATATAGATATGTGTTTCTCTGGTTTTTATCGTCATCATGGGCTTGTATCCCTTTAATGTGTATGCGCACGTGCGCGTGTGTATATTTGTTCTTGTGTTTTCCCACTCATTATTTTGGTTTGTTTTGTTTGGTTGTTGTTTCATTCATTTTTTTTTCTTTCTCATACATTCATTCATGCTCCTTCTTTTTTTCTTCTGTTTTCTTTTTTTTTAATGTCTGTTTGTTGGTGTGTATGTGTAGTCATTATCTCTTGTTGTTCGAACAGATGAATATCGAGAAAATTATATCTCGACGTTTAATTTTTTTTTTTCGAATGACATTATAGATGATCATACACAAAAAAAAAAAGTAACTAAAAAAAAAATTAGGAAAAAATTATTTCTGTGTTCTTCTTTTTGTTTTTCTTTTGTGCGCGTGCGTAATATACACATTGATTGAACAAGATATTTCTTTCATTGATGAGAGAAATAAAATGATGATAGTGAATAAAAAACAAGTCACACATCATATAGTTATAATTGATGAGAAAAATGACGAGAGAAGGAAACACGGGGAAATTTTACTGTTTTTTTTTTTATACGAATATATGATAAATAGTATAGAAAGAAATAGTTTGTATCGAATTTCCAAAAAATCAATAAATTGTCACAGGCATGATATAAAAAAACCTGAGTGTACTTGAAAATTCAATATCTCGACAAAAAAAAAAACATTCTTTTCAGCTGAAATTTTCAAAATATTCTATGGATCATTAAACCTACCTACGGGCAAAACTTCACGTCGAAATTTTGCTTGTTTTTCTGATTTTCCAATATATTCCTAAAGTTTAACTCTTTTATATTCCTCATTAGCATAATTTATGTCATGATAGAAAATTAATATTTGTTTGTTTTAATTCAAAGTATAAGTGACAATCTTCAGTTATTTATATTGAACTTGTTAAATCACATATTTGTCGAGTATTAATATGGATAAGAGTAAGATTGATTGATCTACTATTACCTACATATTTGCAAACAATATTCAATGTATTATAAATAAATTTCGTTTTTAAAATACAATATATAATCTATTTTATATCAAATATAATTACTAATATGAAATTGTAGCAATTCGAAATCGAATAAATGTATTTTAAATGTCTCATTATTAGTAAGTACTATTATATTGTCATTTTGCTCTTTATATGATATTTGACATACTGTTTTTTTTTCTTCTTTTGACAAAGAACAGAGCATAGAAGTCGATTAGTTGTATTAGAAAAATTTCGATCAATTAGTTCACACATTATTACCGGAAGATTGTTTTTTTTTTCTTATAATTTCATCGAATATAAACAAAAAATTTTCATATCTTATTTTCACAATAAATAATCATCTTAGACAAGATAATAATCATTTATTTATTATTATATTTAATCTAAATTAAGCTCGTTTACATATTATATTGAAAAACAAAAACAAACTATTTTGCTTATTTCTTGTATTTACTTGTTATCTGACAAAACGTACGTGATATTGTTTTCTTTTACAAGATCAACATCAATCACAGCTAAATAAATTCATCACAGATATGTTAGAGATAAAAAAAAATATTTCGAATATTGAAATTACAAAAATATGAAAGATTTTTGAAAAAAAAATGCTTGTTAGATAAAAAAAATTATTTCTTTTTTTTTTTGGTAATGTCATAAGTTAGACAATATATAAATGTTTTCATTATATATTTATAGTAATCTATTTTCAATAGAGAATATTGATAATTAGTAGACATTTAATTAGACATTCATAGAAGTGGACAGATCTCTTATAAATGGCCTAAAGCAAAAGTTAATGATTGGCAATTGGCTTATGTTTCATTTGTTTATCTACAGTAGCGCTCAATATTGATCATATACCTAGTCAATAGCTTGGTTTTTTTCTTATATTTTAACATGGGTTCAATATATAGAGTTGCAATTATCTTATTTATTCCTCTCTATGTAAGATATTTATTGTACTAGACTAGAAATATAAAAAAATGATGCCTCTCAATTTTGCTCAAAATTGATTATATATCCAATATAGAAACTTAAGAATATTGTACGATTAAAAATTGTGTATTTCATCATATCTTGTTGTTGAAAAGAATGATATAGAAAGTACAATATCTATTCATTTCTGCGTGAAGTATATGATCAACTTTGAGCAAAAACAATGGACATTATCGTTAGTCGTGCTAATCTAGTATAGTAAAAAATACCTGATATAGAGTGCTGATATTTTTCTTTTGAATGAGATAGATTATAAAAATGAGACGTATGATCAATTTTAAGTGCGACTGTATTTGGAATTCGTAGTCAAAAGAAAGATGTGACTTTTAAGTTTATATAAATAATTTTAAATAAATATTCTGACGTATTATGTTATAAAAGTAATGTATGGTATGGAAAAATAATTGTCGAGTAGTTTATTTCATGCGTACAAAAAACTCAACTTTTTCGACTCAAAAAATCATGCACATCGATATGTTTGTCGATATGTAGAGTGGTAATTCTTTAATGGTATCTTGGTTTGTATAGTTGCTTCTGATAAGAACACTTTTGTAAAGTGTATCAAAAAGTATGCACTCACATACTGATAGTATTCGATGAGAAGAATCGTCAATAATGAAAAGAGAAAGGCAAAAAAAAACCTTCATTGGAGCATGTTACAACTCTTATAAGTAAAAAAATGAGAAAAATAATAGCAATCAACTTGAAATTGTTAGAATATAGTAATAAGTGTTTACTCAATATATTTCAGATAACATGTAAGCAGAATCATGCAAAAAAAATTAAAACTTTCATTTTAGTAATTGAAAAACAAAAAGAAAATAATACAATCATGTTCTTTCATCTATTACTCATCTAATTTTCGAATAGTACACAATATTTTTTTTTATTTCCAAGGATATAACATAAAAATACATTCAATTTTCATATTCTCTAGTTCTTATTTATTCATGCAAAACGATCGATAAACATTTAATTATTTATATCTCATAAGGTTGTTTCAGGACCACTGTTAATTAAAAACATGACTGACACATTTCTGATATGGATAGATTTTATCATTGAACAGACATGTTGAATTTTTCTTTTTGTGAAGACATTAATATTTGACTGACTTATGTTTCTAATGAGTCTTCTAGAAGAAATATACAGTTCATATTTGTATATTTTTTTATGTTTTCTTACAAAAAAAATCGCTCACACATACAAAGTAATGAAGAAAACTTGAGTTAGATGCTTTTCCTTAACTATAACATATGGCAAAATTGTTCAACGAACTTTCAAATAAGACAAAAAAAAAAAAAGAAAACAGAGTACATCGAGAGCAAAAAAAAACGAAAGAATATCGTATGTATAATGTATATGTGTATGTGTGAGAGCGAGAGAAAGAAGAAAACGAAATAAAAAAACTTTTTTGCATCAATGTTCATGAAACATATGAAAAGGCAACGGTTGATGTATTATTATTTGTTTCTTGTTGTTGACCAAAATGAAAGAGTCGATGTTGTTGTTTTGATTGTTCTTTATGAACACTATCATGTGTATATCTTACAAATGTATCATATTGTTCCGTAAGTTTAGTTGATAAAAGTTGTTCATACTGTTCGCGTATTGATCGATCTTGTTCACGTAAAAGACGAGCACACATTTGAGCAGTTTGTGTATATGTAAACATTGGAATATCATCTGTTGTCGATGATGATGATGATGTTAAGGCAGTAAGCGAACAGGGCTTTTTAAATATTAATGATTGATTTTTATTTGGTGATGAAGTAAATATAGACTGTTGTTGTTGTTGTTGTTGTTGTTGTTTTGATGGAGATAATGGATTAGTATTTGTTGTAAATGTTGCTGTTGTTGATGATATTGGTGATGCTGGTGGTGACAATTTCATTTCAGCTCGTTTTCTTTTTACACCTTGTTCAACAGGATCGAATTCTAGTGAACGTTTAAGTGATGCAACTGCTAACATGATTGAATTAATAAAGAGGAACTTGAATGTATATATGAAAAGAAGAACACGATCCTAAAAATAAATATATATAGAGAATTAGTTTTTTGTTTTGTTGGCAATAAATAATATGATCTATTTGTGAGAATGCTTGTATGAAAGAAAAAAAAATTTCTGTATTAGATTATTTCTTTCCAAGGGGGAGGGGGTATCGACGCTTATGTCTTTGTCTCATGTTCACGCACCAATCATATGATTAAATATAATTTGAACGAGAAAGACAGAATGTATATTATTGTATTTTTTATAAAATTTAACATTTTTTAGTATATTAAAAATAAAATTTAAAAAATATTTATGATTTTATGATTTTATTTTCATTGTTTAAAATAATTAGATGGCGCTTTTCATAGGATAATTTTCATTGGTTACAATTAAAATGAGTCGAAATTCATAGTAGAAATTATTTTTACAAATCTTTTGAATTTAGTATAAATGAACTGTTTTTCTTTTTTTTGTGCATTTCAAAAAATTCATTAATGCTGTACAATTAAATAATAAAACATCGAAAATTATTCTCAAACTTTCTATATCGTAATTATGATTTATATCATTTAGCTTAGTTAACCATCTATGTTTAATTTCGCCAACGCAATATTTTCTTTTTGAATAGAAAGAATCCTTTTGTTTAGTATCCGATCATTAGTTTATCATGAATATAATCTTAACACAAGAAGTGATTGTAAATATGAATGAGGGGTGTGCCAAGGTAGGTCGTTATGATTGGGATGATGTCGATGAGTCAGAAGATGAGTTGAAAGTTTTTCGTTAATGCTTACTTAACTCTTTTGGTCGATAATGGGTTGGTCTGATTTTCGGAGAAACAGTTCGGGCGTTTTCTTTTACTCTGCTGAGGCGCACTCGGTAAATATATAGACATATCCTTCAAAATTTCAGATGTGTACTTTTGATTAGATATTATTCAATTTGTCTTTCTTTCACAATAAACATCAATTAAGTGTAGGCGTCTCTCGAGAAAGAAAGAGTCACTTCGCTTCACAAATCTTGAGAAATTTTCGATTTTTTTTGCTCACTAATTCTCAAAAAGCCGTTCGACCCCTAATTTCGGTGACCTTGGAACATCTCTACTTTCCTTTTACCAAAAAAATTCTTTTAGTATATGAAACACAAGGAAATTTTCAGGAAAGTTTTTTTGTATATATGAATAAATTGCAAATTTACTGTACCGTTATATTCTAATACGGGAAAAACAGTTCAATACCTTGAGTTGTTCTCAATTAATCTTTATGATTTTTTTTTCAGATTAGATTCCTCTAAGAAGTTCTCATTGCCATACAAAAAAAATCAAGGATTTACCTTAGATGAATTCTAATATACTAAGCAGGTAAGATCTAAAAGATCAATATTTGCTGCTATTTAATATTAAAGCATGTTGTATAATCAATTTCTTCTGTTCTCATTCATATATTGGAAGTTGACAGAATTAAAGCAAACAAGATGGAATTTTTAATAGAAGACTGATTGACGTTTTTTTTCTGAATATGAAATGTATAGTCTCTGTTCAATTTTCTGTCATATGAGATTAAAAATATTCCTAAAATCAAGTAATCCATCTAAAAATGATTAAACTCCTGTTGAATAAAAGACAAGGAATAGGAGATTAACCTATTAAAAAATATGAAAAAAGTTATATTATTTCTTGTTTATCAAAATTATGAAACCAAACTTGAAAATTTATTTATCACATAAGATTATTTATTTTACTTGACTTATAGTTCTCTTATAGTATAGTAATTTGAGTTGAAACTTTGATCAATTTATCAATTTCTCATGATCAATCACCATCATGAAAGATATCAGCATCAGAAAATTTATAATTCAGAAGACAAAGAAAAAAGGAGTGTCAATTCATCATGTAAGATTATAACGTGTATAATACTTCGGTTTTTAACTTTGATGCTATCAAGATTACTGCTATCTGACTCTGAATTATGTTTTTAGGGAAGTCGTTTTGTTTAGTTCATGTCACATCCTGAATATATAACATGAAACATAATATTCAGTTTATATATAGTTGACATTTATTGAACATTGCGTCTCAATAGTACATCGTGACATATAAACAAGGTTCTTTCTATCTGTAATCTCAACCTTTCTTTTTATTTTTTAATGAATTTTGAAAACCACTTTGTATCTCGAAAGCGATTCGATGCATATGCGTAAAAATCATATTCACGTATTTTCATAAGTTTTGAATAGTTCTCATATATTTCGATCATACTAATAATAGTAATTGGAAAATTTTATTCTTTTATCTAATCTTATACAATTTAGTAAAATACATTATTTATCACTTTGCTAGAAAGAATTAGTTTCATAATACAAGAAAATTTTCTTGACAATCTATTAAGTAATTTTTAATTGTTCGAATAATAAAATTTATACATTGTAAAATATTAAATGTTTTGATTAAGAAACTTGTTTCAGTAAGATAAGAAAAAAATTTTCTTTTTTTCATTATTAGTATTCATAATTATTAAAATAATTACAAATTTTCTAGTGCTATCGAAAATATATGCTAAGATGCATTAAAACATGTTGTACTACAATGAGATATTTCTCTTTGTATTCTAAAACACGTCTGTTTATCTTGTTTCTAATTGAGATTTTCTTTTGCCAGTTGACTATATGATTTACAAACATGATAATCATTTTATTGATCATATACGATGCACATGTACAATGTTGTATCTTAAAGTATATCCTCTTTAAATTAATGATAAATGTAATCAGTAAAATTTGAAATTCATATAAAAATGCATTTGAGTTCATTGAACTAAAAATCTATTTGACATATGAAGTAATAAGAGAATGTGAATAGAAATAATGATGAAAATGGATATCATATAGGATTAAGAATATTTTAAGCTTTATACTTGTACAAACGAAATCGAGCATGTTGCTATCGGTATAATATCTAGATTAAGTTATATACGCCTTTAATGATGGAATATAATAATAAAAACGTTTTGTACATAAATGATTGAAGGTAGAAGAATAACCTTGTGCGTTAGCTGACAAAGAAACTACTCGAATTGATATCCATCATTTGAGATGATCATATTGGATTCACAAGGAAATTTCATAAGGCTGGAAAAATCGTTTTACTAAGTTGTCGATGATCAAGCCCGAAGGATATACCGAAAAATCAAAAAATATTATTTCGCAATAAAATTATGCCCATATATAGGTTTAATGATCCGTAGAATATCTTGAAAGTTTCAGCCAATAAGAATGTTCTTTTGTTGAGATATCGGATTACTAAAAAACCAATATTTTGCCACAAACATGATATTAAAAGTCGAGTCCACTTGAAAATTCAATATCTCCACACAAAAACACAAATATTCTTTTCAGCTGAAATTTTCAAGGTATTCTACAGATCATTAAACCTACCTATGGGCAAAGTTTCATGTCGAAATATTGTTTTTTTTTCTGATTTCTCAGTATATTCCTAAAGTTTGGCCAAAAAGATTCAGTAAAATAATCATAGGATGTCTTTATAGGCTTAATATGAGTTCGAATAGTCCGTATCAGTTCAGACAATTCCCTCGTAAGAATGTTGAGAGTTACAAATGTTAGAGGTTTATCTATTATTAATTAGTATTTTAGAATGGTGATAACCAATAAACATCGATCTTGTTATCATTTCGAAATATCTATCAGAAAAAGATAAATAATATTTCAGCAATATATCAATTCCAATGAATTTATCTTCAGTAAAAATAAATTTTAATATTTTTAAATTATATTCAAATATTATTCATGAAATCAACTCTATATTCGATCAGTAGAAGTATGGTTTCTATTAACATTTTATTTTGTTTTTTTGATGTTTTTGCGTCATGACTATAACCTGTCTCTATTTGCAAAAGCAAAAAAAAATCTTATGTCAATAATATGAGAACTTCTTGTTTTTTTTTCAAATGTAAAGAAAAAAAGTATTGCTGAAAGCTGGAAAAAAAAATCTTGTTACTCGATTATTTTTGTTCTTCCATTAGCGTGTATAGTCAGATGTTATTTTGATAAAATATTAATTTCCGATAAGATTAACTAGGTTGACTGTAAGTTTCTATTTGAATGAAAAACAAAAATAACTACAACATTTTCTTATCAGTTAACATTGTACTTCGATCTGTAAATATTGATAGCACGTGATAAATTATATATGATGGATTAATTCTATTTGAAATAAAAATTTCTTTACCTTATTCAATGCAATTATTATAAAAACTATCCACAGCAAGAATGATTTTATTTCCTTAAATAACGCCATCTATATCTTATCTTATTGTCATTCGATCATGTTTGATGTCCATTGAAAAATAATTTTTCCCTTTTTTTTTCTTTCTTTCTTTTTCTTTTTTCTATATACATATCGTCATTTATGTCGATCGTCATCTATTCGCAATCCTGAATAAAAAAGAAAAAAGAAAAAAAAATCAAATGATGCTTCATTGTCTTTTTCTATTTTCTCCCTCGTTGAAAATACGCTAACTGAATATAAATGTTTTATTTTTTTTCCATTTTGTGTTCTAATACTTTTCTCATATATAAAGTCATTTGATTCTCTAAATCAAAATAACATTTGCTACATTGATTTCTAGTTTTTTTTTACCTTTATCGTTTGTTGTTTACATCGTTTGGATTTATAATAGAAAAAAGTACGATATATAGGTATGGTTAGATATTGTATTCAAAGAACAAAAACACAAAAATATTCAGTTTGAATTAAGTACGATAGAAAGACAACACGACACTGTTACCAAGTAAATAAAAGAAATAAAAAGTCTTTTATTTACTTAAAAAACGTCTCGTCGAGATCTTGAACTTGAGTTTTTCTTCTTCACATTGACATTTTTATAGTTTATTTTTTTATTGATTTAAGTTTTTTTTTTCATCTTCCATTTATTTTAAATACAGCAATGACATCATCGGATTGCTTATCTTCGAATAATCGTGACCATCGGTTATCAAGTATACCACGTTTTAATCTTCCTGTACAACCTTTTCTTAATACAACTAATGAAATACAAAAAACACCATCATCATGTACAACTCCAATATCAGCATCACCAAATAATTTTTATACACCAACATTAATTCATCCACCTCGTTTTCCTCAAGCAAATATGCTTAATTTTCCAAGACCTCCACTCCCACTTCCACCACCACCATTAATAAGAAAAAATATTGAATTTAAACCACCAGAACAAGATATATTAGATAAAAATTTTTTTCGTACATTTAATATGGAACAAAAACAAGAAACAATAAATAAAAATTCGGATAATACAACGAATATAGGTAAGTAAATTTTTTTGCCAAAAAAAATAAAACGATTCTACATTAAATCATAAACATATTGAAGGTCCAAATTTAATTGATATGGGTGTAGATCCTTCATCACCTGCATTATTATCTGGTAATGTCTTTGAATTATTTGATCCATTAAAACAACCAAGTCGACCACATTCATGGCCATCAAAATTAAATGAAGCTGGAACAAATGCAGCTACACCACCTTTTGTTACACCAAGTAGTGAAACTCCACCAATATCATCAACAATACCACCAACATCATCAATAATACCACCAACATCATCAATAACACCACCAACATCATCAATAATACCATCAACAGTAGTATCAACATCATCCCTTTCATATCCATATCCAATTAAATTCCGATTAAAATTAACAACATTTCCTGATATAAAGCCATTTAGTCATCTTGTTCAACGTATTCGTAATGAAAGTCAAACAAAACAGGTATAATAAATTATAATAATTATATAGATCAAAAGTGATCACATATATGCATTTAATAGATGACTTTATTTTCTTAAAAATTCAAGAGAAATTCGACATATTGAAATGCAAGTTTTTTTTGGTAAAGATTAACTCATATTTCATACTGAAGACAAGCAATCCTGTTGTCGAAATCCGATCGCAGAAGTTTCAACAGAATGCAATTGAAATTATCCGCATTCGGTAGAATTCGACTGGGATACTTGTACCAAACTGCATCAAGTATCATTTATTGCCATTGTAAACTTGATGTGCAAGATAAAACATACTAAAACTGATTTCGTTTGACTCAACTCATAGAAAAATAGCATAAATTTCATAACAAAGAAAAAAGAATCGCTTCTTACGATATCGAACAAGGAAAATATTTTTTTCCCATATGTACTTTTTTTATTATGGTATTGTCATTTAGTTTAGTAAGAACTTTGATTCTACAAAGCTGTACTTCTTTCAATAAAGTTTTAAAAATATAGTTTTTGAACATAATTATATCTACGATTGATATCAATGAGTAGCTGGTTTATTTATTCTTTTTTAAGTTTTTCGCATCAAACTCAGAGATAGGCAACTCTACTATGTCTCACTTCAACTCTGAGCTGAAATTGCTCATTTCTAGAAAATAACTTATATGAGCTATTTTTGGTAAAAACATCACACTGCAATATGTTGAATTTCTCTTCAGATACCAGGAAAATAAGGTCATCTGTTTGAGTGTATGATCATTATTGTCTATCATTATTTTAATATTCTCATGCTGAAGTATCTGAATGGATAACAAATATCATACATTAAACATATATTTAAAACAAATTTATAATTAAAAATTTAAACTAGAATATAAATTAATTGTTATTGTTCTTCTTATTAGACATCAGATGAAATATTTTATTGTAAACGTGTTCAACGTTTAACTCCACAACATATTGAACAAAAACAATTACCTGTAACATTATATATATATGTTGATGGTGGAAAAGAACCAAAATGTTTAACAAACATAAGTCTACAATCAACAGTATCACATATATTATATCAATTACTTGAAATAACACCATTTGATTATGATCAATCAATACTTAAATTACGCTCACGTGAAGAATATTTACGTAATGAAGATGTTTTATGTGATATTGAATATGTTTATAATTGTATTAATTCATTAAAACAATTGGAATTTGTACTTGTAAAAAAACCTACATATGGATATCAAAAACAACAAAAAATAAATTATATAAGTTTTGAACAATTTTGTTTAAGTGAACAAGAAAACACTTATCATACATTAACATCATCATTGGATATCTCTAATAGATCATTAACAGATAAAAAACATAGGTATGTTTTATTTTATAAATAATTCTGAATAGAATATAGTTTGAGCTCAATAAAAACCAACAATAAGATGAATTTATTTCTATCAGATGAAAGTACTTGGACAAAATGTTTATTCATATATCGACAGACTACAAGAGTCAATAGAAAATTTTCAAGCATTTGAATTAGAATCAGAATTTTGTGCTTTTTTCAAATAGATGCTTGCGATTTGTGTAAGATTTATAGGTTAGGAATTATGAGTAAATCTTTGAAGATCACGAAAATAAAGTTCGAACAGCTTTCAATATACAATAAAGCGATCCAAGGTAGAAGTAAAATTTATTACAAATATACTAAAAGTATTGAACAAAATGATATCTTAATCATTAGTTTTATATGCCGCCTCTATCAATAATAAGATTTTTACTATTGCCATTTTCGAAACTTCTTGATTTTCAGACTTATAAAATTAGTTTGATTATATCCGAAGAATTGCAGCAAGACTTTTAGTTCTTAGCTCATTTTGTAGAGAACCATTTTGCTCTTCACGCTATGCAAAAAAATTGATAATAGAAAGTATTCGATAAGTGCATTATTACTATTCATGACAAATGCTAGGCGTAACTCATTGTGGTTACGGTCACGGTCATGGCCATGACCTTGATCAACGTTTTTTTAATAGTCATGACTGTGACTGAAACTTGGCCATGAATACTAAAATGGCCACATATCCTGTGTCTATGTTGGTCGTATTAGTTTTCCCACAGCATAAATAATTTCATATCCTTTACTTATTGTGACCACTAATTCATTTGTTTTTTTGAATTAAAATAACTATAAAGAAATGTTACAGGAGAAATTAGAACTCAGGAAAGTTTAAAAATTTTTTTGAATTCTAATTTCGTTCGTCGGAATCAAGAACGGGATCCAAAAAATTTTAGAACATAATACAGTCAAATAAAAGGCGGCACGACTAAGCTAAATTGGATGTCTTTATAATGAAAATAACAAAGTGACACACAATCAATTTCAAACGAGATATGATCAGATTTTCCGTTTCTAGATCTGTTAGTTTAACTACTTCTGTCCAGACTTTATCGTCGAGACTTTCAAAGATTCATTCATAATTCCTAACTTATAAGTTTCACAAAAATTCCGAATAGATATATTCGGAAAGAAACATAAAATTCTGTTTCTAATTCAATGCTTTAAATATTCTGTTGAGTTTCGTAATCTATCAAAGAATGAATAAACATTTTATTCCTCGTTATCATATACAAAATATGAAACAAATTTCTAAAATAATATCTTATCTTAATTTATTATATAAAATTTCTATTTTAATTCTATATTAAATTTAATATCTTAGAAATTCACATCGGTCATCTACTGCTCTTCGTTCAACAAAATCTTTAAATATACATAAACAAGCAACATATTCACATCAAGCTCATATAGCACATTCATCAAATGCACCATTTCTCGCATCTGATCCTCGATGGTTAGATGAATTTCGAAAAGATATTGAGTTAATTCTTTTACAAATTGAACAACGTTTTAATCGTCTTGTTCTATTTCATCAACCAATATTATCAATAAGTGAACAAATAAAAATAATTAATGAATTAATAGGTTTTATTAAAAATATACAAGTAACATGTTCATATATACAATCATCATTAATTAGTGACAAACAACGTGAGTTAAAAATTTTTGCTGATCAATTAATAAGAAAATCACATAATGAACATGAACAACAAATAACATTAGAAATACATGAAAAATTAACAAGATTACTTTATGATTCACTTGTTATATTTGTTAATTATATACAAACTTATTGTCATTCATATCTTATTCCTTATGAAGTTGAACTTTATAATGATAAAAATATATCAATTAATATAGAGGAATTGAAATACCCGGTATGTATACTATATATATATGATGTATTCAATATTTAATAAGATATCTATCGAAAAATTAGTTAGTATTTTAATATATAAGATGTATGATGATCAGTTAATAGTTTGAGATAAAATATATATATATATATAATAGATAATGGAATGAAACAAAAAGATTATTTTCGAATGTATTTTAAAAAGAAAAATTATAAGAAAGTCATAGTCGAGAAAGATGAAGTCTAGTTTTGATAGTCCATGGGTCTATTTGATCTTGCAATCAATATGAAAATTTATTATAAAATTTTAAAAGTCGTGATGATACTAGTGAAAGTATGTTGGTGCAGGTTTTTTTCACAGAAAAGGAAGTTCTGACAGATTGGACTCTGCTAGTTAACAAGATGATATATCTAAATGTCGGTTTACTTTTTAGCTGGAACTTAGTGCATCTTAATGAATTTTCGCCGTAGGAGCCCATATTTGCAACAAGGCTATATTTTCGAATTTCAATCTGAAATTTTGTCCCCATATAAAGACCTCAATTAGACTAGTCTGCATAGTAAATTTCAGAATTATCGGACAAAGCCTCTTCGAGATATGAAGCTTTGAAAAAATACATGCTATATATACTATCCATAGGAAAGGGCTTTTATCTTAAAAGTTCCATACCTCAGAGAGACGTACGAGAGAACCTCACCAGATGTCAAATTGCTTTTCAACCGAGACGATTTTCATTTGATGAGTGCTAGTGAGTAATAGAGGAGTCTAGAATGCTTTACTTTTCTGGGCCTTTTTTCTTGAAATATCAAATTTTCACTGAATTTTTCAACACAAAACTGTAGTCTCCCTCAGGTCGCGTGGAAAATCGACTTTCGACTTCAAATTTTGCACGAACAAAGTTCTCAATACGATTAGTTTATTGAACAAGTTATAACTTTCCTAGTATTTCCTATCCTGTTATATTGAATATTCGAAACTGTTTCATATGTAAAAGCAAATTTTGTTCATATATTTAAATCTCAGAAAGGAAATATTAGAAAAGCTAAAATTTACCCAATGAACTAATTTCATTGAGAACTTTGTTCACGGAAAATTTGAAGTCGAAAGTTGATTTTCCACGTGACCTTAGGGGGACCACAGTTTTTTGTTGAAAAATCCAGTAAAACCTCGACATCTCAAGAATGAAAACTCAGAAAAGCAAACCATTCTAGACTCGTTTATTACTCACTAGTACTCAGCAAATGAACATCGTCTCAATCGAAAAGCAATTTGACATCTAGAGAGGTTTTCTCGTTACTTTGGAAATTCTAAAGTTTCACATCAACATTTCAAAATATAGGTTGCTACAGAGAACATTTACTAAAAATGTTCGGTCTTTTCCGAAATAGATCATCAGCACGAAAATTCTTTTTATATTAGACATTGTTCATTAAGTTCTAGTTGAAAAACGAACCGACACTTGAGAATGTTGTCTTGAGGATTCAATAGTCCATTAAAAATTTGCATGTTCATACAGTTAAATACCTTAATACAGAAAAAAAATTTTTCTTTCAAATACTGTTTGAACCGATCTTTTTCGAATGTATATCCTCTTAAATTGAAAGGATCCAATGATTTAATAAATAAGCGAAATTTATATATATATATATATTTGTATGACCTATCCATTCTAACCAATTAATTCATTATTTGTTTTTCTTCATAGCCAACAAAAAAGAATCAAATTTCACGTTCAATCAATGAATCACCTGATACATTTCAAGTTTATATTGATAGTCTATTTTCTTTACCAACAATATCAAATATAAAATCTATAGGTATTATTGCTCGTCTTTGTTATGGAAATCAAACAAAAGCACGACAAATGACTCGATCAATGTCATTTGTACGTAATAATTATCATAGTGAAAATGTTTCACTTAAACCACAAATACGTTTTGATCAATGGCTTTCATTTGATGATGCACGTCTTTGTGAATTACAACGTGAAGCGCTACTTTTATTTGAAATATATGCAAGTTATAATGATGATTTTGATTCATCATCACCATTATCACCATTATATGAAGTATTCGATGGAGTTTCAATGCGTCTTATTGGTTGGTGTTCACAAGCATTATTTGATAATGAACATTATCTTATTACTGGTGAACGTTATTTAGGTATATTTGATGCATCAACAATAAATCGTACGGGTTTTTATTCATTACGAAATGTTTTTGAACGTAATTGTCCAATATTAAGTGTATCATTTCTTGACCAATCATTTTTATGGCCAGATGTTCAAGCTCGAAGTGATAAACATCCAGGAAATTTTACTGACATCAGTCGTGATAAACAAGAACATTTATGTCGATTACTTAAACGACCAAGTTTATTATTAGTTGATCATAGTGCTATGACAACAAATGATAATCGTAAACAACAATTTTCATTAAACATGTCAGATGAAGGTATGAAAAATATAGGAGAAAAAAAAACAGAATTTTTCTTTGCTCAATATATAATTATTTTCAATCACATAACAATTTTATTTATTAATATTTGATAAATAAGATCCATTGAAAAAATTATTTCGATAAAAATATAAAAAGAAAATTTTTAAATTTTATTGAACTAGTGTCAGTTTTCAACTAGTTGATCAGTACTAGTTTGACTGAATCTTTTTTTATCGAACTTTGGTAAGGGAGATTATCATTACTGAATAACGAAAACATTTTTTACTTATTTACAAAAGAAATCGAGAACAGGAATTCTTCCCGCTCAACAGTAGTCAAGAATAGTCGAAGTATTTGAGTATTGTGACCCTAGCACCATGACTTGAGTAAATTTAAATCTTTTTTTTAATCAAAATGATTAACGCAACAACCTCCACAAAATTCTACAGGAGAAAAAAATTTTCTGTGAACCGGATGTTTTTTTACAATTAACTATCAATAAAAGTATTCATCAAAAATATGATTTGCAAACATTTTGCTATTAGTAAATACCTAGTTATCGGATAAATATACATTAAATAATGGTATTAATTTGAAAGTAAATAGTCGGTGATAATTATGAATGATAAAATTCTCCGTTTTTTCTTATTAAGTACATAGTTAATTTTATTCATAAAAATATCAAATAGAAACTCAAACATATCCTATGTATCTTTATCTTATATCTAAATATTTTTTCAATTAAAAATCTTATTTTTAGAGCGTGAATTTTCTGAAGAAGAATGTCATTTTCTTTGGTCTCATCGTCATTTTGTTATTCATAAACCATATGCATTACCAAAATTACTTAAATCTCGTTCTGTTTGGGATTATCCAAGTTTAATTGATATATATGCACTTCTTAATGAAGTAACTCATGATCGTACAATAGATGAAATTGAATCATTTGAACTTTTATTACCAGCTTTTCCTGATATGCATACACGTTCATTTGCATATCATTCATTAATATCACGTTTAACATCTCAAGATCTTCTTATTTATTTACCACAATTATTACAAATAATTAAATTTGATTATATACATTCATCAATTATTATTGAATATTTACTTAAACAATCTTTAATTGATTATAGTTTAGCACATAAATTATATTGGCATTTACGACAATTACTTATAACAGAACATTTACATTATATACGTTATTATTATTTATTTTTATCATTACTTTATGTATTAGATGAAAATTTTCGTGTAGAATTACAAAATGAATATGATTTATGTTTAAATTTAAAACGTATTGGTATGAAATTAAAAACAAATAAATCAAATAATAAAGGAAATCTTTTATATGAACATTTAAGAGAACTAAATAATGAATTTTTTCATTCAGGTAAATTAACATGTCGTTTACCGTGTCAATTTAATTTTATGACAAATAATATTGATATAAATTCATGTTCATTTTTTAATTCATTAACTGTACCAATTAAACTTGTTTTTAATCCAATTGATTCATCATGTGAAAAATATTATTCAATTTATAAAATTGGAGATGATTTACGAGTAAGTCCAAAATTAAAACTAGATTTATTGTGAAATACAATCTAAAACGAATGCTGAAGTATAGAGGTAGAGATTTGGACCCGCCTTCCCCTCTCCTCTCTTCAAACCATGACAGACTGCATTTATATGTATATGAGTGAATTGCAATTTTATTGTGCGATTCGTTTTTGTAGTGTTTTTCTTACAACCTCGATTGTTATGAATTGATTTGAGTGCAGGTGTCGGTTTTGTCTTCACCCACACCTTAATAAATCTTTTCTTTTAATCAATACTATAGATTACTCGAGATTATACGGAGATCATCACTCACAGTGACAAACATCTTAGCAATATTCCCTCTTCTCAGTATCATAAACCATTTATCAAATGATATCTTAAACTACTTATTGCATTTGAGGAGGATTAAGTACTTAAAAAGAATGGTAAATAGAATAAAACAATCTTTCTTATGATTACTAAGAGCAACTATATCGTGTTTCATATTTTAAGTTCATAGAAATTGTATCACTAACTTTTAATTTTAATTTTGTCTTTTTTTCATACTTATAGCAAGATCAAATTGTTTTACAATTATTTGCATGTATGGATAAAATATGGCAAGCAAATGATTTTGATTTTCGTTTAAGTTTATTTAATGTTGTACAAACACAAGAACGTTGTGGTTTTATTGAAATGATAACAGAAAGTGAAACATTAAGAGAAATTGAATCACGTTCAGGAACAATAAAAGGTTCATTAGGTGAATCAGCTTTATATGATTGGTTACGTTTACATAATACAACTGATAGAGAATTTCGAATTGCTCTAGAAAATTTAACATATTCATGTGCTGCTTATTGTGTTGCTACATATATATTAGGAATTGGTGATAGACATAATGATAATATTATGGTTAAACAATCAGGACATTTATTTCATATTGATTTTGGAAAATATTTAGGTGATACACAAAAATTTGGATGGTTTAATCGGTAGGTATTGAAAATTATATTTAAATTAAGAGAATTAGAATTAAGATGAGTTAGTTTATATATGTTGAAAGTAGAATAGATTCGAAAGGTTGAAGCGATGCTCTCAGGAAAAAACAACACGTCGGAGAAGATCGAAAAAATTAAAGAAAGTTTATCTGTCTTTAAGTCTTGTGATCGTATCAATAAATAAACTAAGGAATTATCTTATACTTTTATCGACGGGAATAATTTGCTATACATTTCTCCTTGCTTCAAGGAAGGAAGATTCGATAGACTTTGCTTCGCAAATTTAAATTATAAACTCTTATTGGAGTTGAAATATATTTCTTTTATATCGATGGATCTTAAATGACAAAGCTTCGTAGATAGAAAGCTGCGATACAGATCCAATCATAAAATAATATGAATAAAGTTTGTAGTACAGATATATTGTGACCATTATCAGAGTTCTATTATCTTCATATGGGAATATTCTACTTGTAAGAGTATTTCAATCGCCAATGATAACTATCCTAACTTTCATTTCCAAAAAATATTTACAATTATTGAAATATGAATTAAAATTTAGTGATCGTGCTCCATTTGTATTTACAAAACAAATGTTATATGCTATGTCTGATCGTGGTACATCTAATGATGCATTACATCGTTTTGTTGATTTATGTTGTAATGCATTTTGTACATTACGTCAAAATTCTTCATTACTTCTTTTACTTTTATCACATTTATGTTCATCAAATGTATTAAATCTTAATTATGATGCTGTTAGATTTGTTTATGATCGTTTATCACCATTAACAAATTATGCACATAGTATAGCACATTTTACTGAACTTATTGTTGATAGTTTGAATTCAACATGGACAACATTTAATTTTTTAATACATACATTTGCACAAACAACAAGTTCAACAAATTCATCAAATTCGATGCCTATTGGTACAACATTATCATTTGTACCAAAAACATATACAATAGCAACAGATGGTAAAATAAAATCCGCACATGTTGTTAGTTATGATAAACGTACACATCCAACAAAACATTATTTATATAAATTAAAAGTTGAACGTGAAATAATTGATGATTC